TGCAACACACCCAGTGCTGCTAGGGGTTGCCAGCCTCCAGGCCTGGAGATCCCCTGGAATTACAACTGATCTCCAGCCTACAGAGATCAGTTCCCCTAGAGAAAACAGCTGCTTACGAGAGCAGACTCTACGGCAGGAGTGTCAAGCTCATTTGTTAGGAGGGCTGGGCTTGACATGAATGAGACCTTGTTGGGCCGGGCCACGTGTGTCATAAAATGTAATGCCAGGTAGCGGAGATACAAACTTTATAAAGGACACAAACACAAAGGGTGCTTTTTAAAACTTAACATGCTCAAAACATTAGCACTGTTGTTTAACAGTGTCTGATAACTGACACCTCTTGTTCTGAATTATCACATCAAAATGCTTGCGCTGTTGCAATCTTGAGTCTGCTGTTCAGGTGTGGATCTGTAAGCTGCAAACCTACGATGATGCAGCAGCAGCGGCAGAAGACAGCCAGTTCCACTGTTCCACATGTTTGACACCCCTGCTCTACAGCATTATTTCCCACTACATAAGAACATGAGACGCCAATGCTGGATCAGGCCAATGGCCCATCTAGTCGAACACTCTGTCACACAGTGACACTAAGGTCCCTCCTCAAACCCCTCATTTTCTAGAGTTCACCCCCCAAAACTTCAGAATTTCTCAACATGCAGTAGGCAACCTGCTAGCCGTCAGACTATCTGGCCTCCAAATATTGTCTTCTGCTGGAGGAGGGGAGGGAAGGCCTAATTGTCCGAGGCAGGTCCAAAACAATGATTTTTATAACCTAGTCGAATTACTTTATGGCCAGGGCTGGTTCGGGCCCCTTTCCACCCTGGCACCCTAACAGTCAGCCATGTGGCAGGCCTTTCAGGGTGTACCAAAGACCCTGCTGTTACAAGCTCCCCCCAGAGAAAGGGGACAGGTTTCAACAGCTTCTGCTGGAGGTTCCGGGTCCATCCAAGGATGTTGACCTGGATACTTGGCTCAGATTCCCTAAGCAAACATACAGTTGTCCAATGTAACTGGCCCAGATCTCCAGTTCATTTGGGAGAAAAGGGGGCTGTATTTGTCTTGATTAGCCCTAACCTGGCTGGCTCAGATCTCAGAAGCTAAGCAGGGTCAGCGCCGGTTAGTACTTGGACAGGAGACCATGAATGAAGTCAGGGGTTGCTATGCAGACGCAGGCAGTGGCAAAACACCTCTGAATGTCTCTTGCCTCGAAAACTCTATGGGATTGCCAAAAGTCAGCTGTTAACTTGACAGCACAAAACAAGTGATGGTTAAAATAGACATTAGACTCCTGCAAAGACTGGCAGAAATGATTCCCTGTCAATTCTCCTTCTGTATCTTTTTTTTGTATGCAACTGTCTTAAAATTAGTTAATTATGTTCTTTCTCCAAAAAGAGAGGAATAAATGTCATTGATAAATGGTGTGTCTTAATCACTGGCATCTCTTGGCTTTGTGCTGTGATTTCCAATTCAGTTTTCTGGCTTTTTTTTTTGTTCACTTGTGCGGTGGGAGATCGCTGTGTTCTCTCTCGCTTTACTGATGGCATTGCAACGTCCTTGGGAAATAAATTTTTAAAAATCAAAATATCCCCTGGGGAAGGAGAGAAATGAAGGCCCAGCAGGTAACAGCATACCAGCAGGGAAGGGGGGGGGAGAGAGAGTTTTGCACTCCCTTGTCTTGAAAAACACCATCTGGGATTACTTTTTCCGCCTTCTTTTTAAAATAATTGGCCACACGCCTAAAGGAACGTGAAAAAAAGCACACCACAAGAAAAAAAAAGGGACAATTTTCTGTTTTCTGCATCTCTTAATGGAATGTCAACCAACTCCACCTTATATAAGAGTTGGGCCCCAGAACATGTGCAAAGAGCTGAAGGCATCTCTCTCCCCTCCCCCACTCACATCTAATTTTCAAACAAACTGGTCTTTAGATTGGGAGATTTCATCTTAACAGAAGGCTGCTATGACAACAGTACTGCTGAATGTTGGCTGAGCATTCTGTTTTGATATTATAGTACAGATTTTATTTTCTTATGAGACAGTGAGGCTGTATTCTTTGTTTACTAAAACAAAGTTTGAGCCCAGTGGCACCTTTAAGACCAACAAAGTTTAATTCTGGGTAGTAAAATTTGTGGCAGGGGATGAGCTTTTGTGAATCACTGCTCACTTCTTCATATACAGCTAGAATGGGAGCCCATCTGTCCTGTTTATTGGAAAGCGGAGTGATTTCAGATGCCGAATAACATTAGCAGGTGAATGACAACTGCAGGCATGATTGGATTCAGGTGGGATATGCAGAGGGGTAATAGGTGTGGAGAAACCAGCATTGGTAATGAGACAGGAAACCTAGGTCTTGATTAAGTCCAGGTGGGTGCATTTTCTTGCGCTACAATTACCAATTGTAATTAAGCAGTCTCTCCCTTCCCTCATTTTATTCTCAGAACTGTGTGTGGTAGGTTGGGCCCATCCCATATCCATCACAGGTACTTGGAAACACAGCCTGTAATGGGTTTTCGCCACCTTGCCAAAACAAGATACAACTCACTTCAGGTCCTGAAAAGATATTCTCTAAGTGGCAAAGGGAAACTGCCCTATGTTATCTGGTGCTCAGAGTTTTCTTCTTGATAAGTGCTGCGTGACAATTCACCGGCACAATCTATCACTCGGAGAACTAGGCAGGGAAGCTGCCGAGTCTGTTGCTCATGCCGGTGCTTGGAAAAGGACACTGGGGACCTCAAGGCTGGAAAGGACAAAACGAGCTTAAATCCCAGTTCCTGATTTCATCCTCATGTACACCAGGCCATTTTCTCAACGCCCTCAATTAAGCGGCTGCCTGCAAAGTGGGAACTGGATTACGAACGCGGAGTCTGCAGAGAAGAACATCTGCTGCTTCATTTCACAAGCCGCCCACCCACCCCCATCTCTCTTCAGTACTGGTATGAACTCTATTAAGAGACCCCTCTGCCTCCAACACTTCTGCCGGTTCCACTGCTGGGATCTTGAACTCCCTCTCGCACACTGATGTGACGGTACACTGATCAAACCCTTCTGAGGCTGTTGGGGAAGGTGAGAGGGTGTGCCAGGGAAACCCTGGCTCAAATGCCCACTACTCCGCCACAGAGCTCCTAGTGACCTTAGGCCAGATACGCTCCCCAGTGCGGCCCTGTAACTTAAAGGGCAAGGATGTTGAGAGAATGAAATGGAGGAAGAGAAAACCATGCCCGGCTCTAAACTCCTTTGAGGAAGGGAGGAGTAAAAATCAAACTGGTGAAAATGAAACAGGTGGGCAGACTGGACAGTCTGTGCTTTCTTATGACCAGCATCCCCACCTGGGGAAAAGCAACCAGATCAGATTGTGTGAGTTAGACGGACCAACGGTTTAACCTGGGACAAGCGTCGTACAGTCAGCTCTGGCATACATTATGGCAGAAGTGAAGTCACAAGGTCTGCGTCACACTTGCACATGAACACTCATCACTTTTGTGGACAGACCGTTGTAGTTGCACGTACACCACACGAACTTCCCTCTCCCTTCATCCTACAAGGAATGTTTAGCTCTCCATCAGTATAGCAGCACGATTCCCAAGTATGGAGAGCAATAGTCCTAATGTCAACTTCCAAATTCTGTGGTGTTGCTGTTCAGTCACACAGTTGAGTCCAACTCTGTAGTATGTCCCAGAAAATTTGCCACTGATTCTCATACACAAAAGAAGGGGAGATTGGATTTATACCCCTCCCTTCACTACCCAAAGGTGTCTCAGAGCGGCTTACAAACTCCTTTCCCTTCCCCTCCCCACCACAGACACCCTGTGAGGTGGGTGGGGCTGAGAGAGCTCTTGACAGAAACTGCTGTTTTTCAAGGACAGCTCTTATCAGAACTATGGCTTGCCCAAGGTCATCCAGCAGGTGCAAGTGGCGGAGTGGGGAATCAAACCCGGTTCTCCCAGATTAGAGTCCACGCACTTAACCACTACACCTGAAACTCAGTGTTAATTAGGGTTGCCTGATCTGGGCTGGGAAATTCCTGGAGATTTGGGGGGGGGGGGAGTCTGGGAAGGGGAAATGAGGAAGAGAGGGACTTCAGTGGGGTATAATGCCATACAGTCCACCTTCCAAAGTAGGGAGAAATAGTTGCCTGGAGACGATTTGCAATCCCAGGAGATCTCCAGCCGCCATCTGGACATTGGCAACACTAGTGCTATGGCATCTGTTTTGCAAGTAAACATTCCCAGGCTCAATCCCAGGCACCACCCGTTAGAAAAGTTCAAGTAGCAGAAAATAAAACATCTCTCATAGAAAGAGGAGTCTTTCCCCTTAAATTCAGGAGGAAAGAGTCCATCTTAGCTCAAGTAAGCAGCCATGAGCACATGGTCCCGAGGAAGAAAAGGACAATCCCCAAACATTGAAACCAAAGTAATCTAAAATATATTAAGTGCCTTTCTCTTATTAAATCAGAGAGGTTTTTAGACCTAGAGACAAGAGGATGAGTAAAACTTTTATCTTCCCCTGCTCAGTCTGTTGTGTGTATTCATACAGTGTGTGCTTTCAATTTACTTATTAAACTTTTTCATTTTAAATGCGGTTAATCCGATCTCTGAAGCACGCTAAGCCCCACTGTGTCTACATTTACCGAGATGGGAAAAGCACAGAGACAGACCCCTAAAATGGTGTTTAAGAGAGAGGAGCCCAAACGCAAACCCTTAGGCTGTGGCAAACCTCCTAACGGTCGTTTGCTGCCGGTGGTGTTCCCATGAGAGAGAAGTCAGACGGCAGAGGAACCTGGAGGCTGGAGACTCCCAAGATGCAGAGACAGGCCTGTGTACCACCACACTAGTCACAAGTAGACAAGCCTGTGACAGATCGATGGCTATCGGGCAGCTTCACGTGTGCAAAGAGGAGCTTAATTTTCTGAAGCCTTTCACAACAGCCAAGCAGATCCTCTTTATGTTTCAAGAGCAACATACAACAAGCAGCAAGAACAGATCATACAAACTGTATTTCAGCACACACACACCCAAACACCTCCACTTTGCTTGCCATCTGACCCAGCCAAGTCACTGAAAGACTGATTGCCAGGAAGCGTTTTATTGTTAATACCAACCAGGAGCATAAATATCTCATCCCTAGGAAATGCACCAGGGGAGAGAGGACAGTGGCATCACATTTTTTTTTTTTTTTGGGGGGGGGGGGAACACAAGAAAGGAGAAGCAGAGGAATAAGGTAGCCTTCCCCCGATAGCTCCTGTACTTCAGCTGGGGACTTGCTCAGCCAGTGCACTAGAGAGGTCCAGCCAGTGTTCCGATGCAAGGGCCACAACACAGCTGGGGAGAGCACAGGGGGGTTCAAACCCCTCCCTTGCCACGACACTTTACTAGCTACCTCGGGCTAGTCACGTCCTCTCACCCTGACCTACCTCACAGAGTTCTGCTGAGTACAAAACAGAGGGGAGGACCACGCACACCACGCCTTGAGGTGCTCAGAGGAACAGCAGGGTAAGGAGGTGAGTGAAGAACAGAACATCCCAAAAAGTTCTTGAAGGAACAGAGGGGAGAAAGCTGTCCTTCGATCTGAGCGATAACCGCACAAGTACTAGCCAATAGATGCCCCTCATACTGGCACAGCCGCAATCCAGACTGCACTAGCTATTGCAACACAGGTCTGAGCAAGGAGAAACATTTTTCCTAGCAATGGTGTGTTTTGAATGTTGAGAATGTTCTGCACCAGGAACACATGCTGAAGTGAATCCATCTAGATTCCCTGGAATAGGGGAGGGGGAAAAAGAATAGGGAATAAAGCTTGAATTGAAAGGGATGAACTGCATTTATTGCTGGTTTCATTTCATTGGAATCTCATTACCGGCCCCAGTCGAGGCTTATTTTCCACACTGAGAACGTCATTAAAAAGCTGCAAATTGAAACTCAAGTATCGTTTTTTCGGCAACAGGGGTGCTGCTATTGCAGGTAGACAATGTTTATTCATTAAGAGTGACCTCTCTCTCACATGCATACACACATATACACGAACACACCCACAGAGCAACGGCGCCTGCACCCTCACAGCTACAGGCCCCATGAACTGATTGTGCTCATCGTCACAGCCGGGTTTTTAAGCCTCTAGATCACAACTGCTGTCCCAAAGACGTAGGAACAGGAGGAATGGGTTTCTTCTTAAATACTTTCCAGAATACCACAGCTGCCTTCCTGGAAGTACTGAGAAAATCCTGGCATGTAACAGAAAAGGAAACACTTCGGGATTTGGCAGCAGCACTTGGTCGTTCAAGGGGGTGAATGTGCCACTTCCCGGCAAGTTCAGTACATCTGATTCAAAGTGCTGCTGTTTTAGGGCCTTCTCATCAGACGTAGGGAAAAGATGGGTCCCTTGCAGTACCTGTGACTGGATCCCTCAAGTGCACAATTCAGTGACTCCAATGAGATCTGACCACAGAAAAGCAAACCCAGTCAAGGGGCTCAGCAATTCCACCTCACCAGTCAAGGCAGGCTCAGGGCAAATACGACAGGAAAGAACCTGTTAATGGTCAGTGGTAATCCACGTTAAAGGTTAAGTAATGCGGTCTGTATAGAATTGTTTAATGCTTGTTCTGGTTTGGCACTTGGCCGTCACACAGATCTGGGTCACCTGCCATTCCTGCAGTGCATACAGGTCTCGTGCGAGCTGCAACGAAGCCAACCTTGTTTCCATCAGAGGCTCATTTCCACAGCACTCGAAGCTGTGCGGCTTCTATGACTATAATCTCCTCATACTGGGAAAGATTTGAGAAAACCAACACGTTTTCCTGCACAGATTCCTCAAACAGAGCCTCAGAGCAGACTAGTGCAGAGAAGGTAGTTAGAAACACTGCAGCCAACCGGAAGTCAATCAGGCCGATAAAAAGAGGTACGCAAGCATGTAATAAATATGGCAAAACATCCCCCATGACAATAAATGGGAAGCAATAACTCATGTTCACCCGCCCTCCCTTCCCCACCCCCAGCTTTTTAGCAAAGAAAACATGGATGTTGGCAAAACACCTGCAAGCCGCTCAATTTGGCACCAGCAATCGGTCCATTTCCAGTTTCACACAGAGAAGTCGCTCTCCGAAAACACACAAACATGACCTACATAAGCACTAACGCTCAGAGGCTTGGAGGAGAAGGATGTCGGCAGCAATTCTTAAAAACACAAAAGTTAAAAAACAAACAGGCGGGACTGGGAGGGTGTGTGTGAGGAGTGTTTCCACTGGTCATGTTTTCTTCCTTTTATCCAATCAGAGTCCACCTTTTCTGAGCCAATCATAAATGCATTCCTGGAGTTAGCCTCAATTAGCACAGCCCAGCTGAGCCACCAACAGGGCATGGAGGACAGACTGCTACAAGATGCATTCAGACAGCTGGGCAAGAAGAAACTGAACTGGGGGACGAGGGAAGGCTACCATGGGGGGCAAATCAGGAGAGGGCAAAGGAACTCATGAATGTCCAGCCATCTTCCTTGATCTCCACGAGCCTCGTTTTCCCTGGTCCAGCTCTGTACTGCTGGGACGGCCTTTCCATTACTGCCTTCTGTCTTCCGTCTCCGATCTGGAAAACGCCATCACCCCATCCTCGGCACCTGTGGCGCAGGAGGAAAATACAAGAGAGATGGGTATGACCCTTTGGCACACAGGTAGGCTGCAGCTACAGAAGAGATGAGATGCTTACCTATACAGTGAAAAGAACTTCCTTTGGGACAAGAAAGGGTAAGGAGGAAGAAGCCCAAATAAGAAGCTTGCATCAGAGCAGACACTGATTGTTACAATATTATTTTAGCACTCTTTGAACTACTTTTCTACATGGATTGAAGGTCTTAATTCTTAATCACAAAGTGTGAGATTTAAATGTTAGTTTGCATGTACATATATATTTATTTTTAAATGCATAATCTCATCAAGTTTCAGTGGCTTAATATATTACATTACAATACAAACAAAAAGATCAGCACCAACCTTACTAAAATGCTACCCAGTGATGGAACTCAGTCCCATCTGTCAAATTATCACAAAGTTACACAGGCAGGCCAAGGAAATGTTCAGCCTGGAGAAGGCCCTTTGACAAAAGCAGCACGTTACAAAGCTTCCGGCACTTAATGTCTGAATTGTGTTAATGGTCAGTGACTGCATATCGTGTAAAAGACAATGCAGGAAGACACAGCTTTGTCTTTGTCTCCTAGCCTGTTGTGACTTAATTGCCATCATCATCCTGTTGACACTCCCCGATTTCTCCAGGGCTTCCTTGGAATCGTTTGCTGTGGCCCTTTGTCCCAAGATCCTCTGCTGTGTTCACTGTGAGGCACAAAACATGGCAGCTGCTTCCCGTGTTGTACGTGTGCCTCATGGGACTTGCTCACCGTGTTACATGTGCAGTATGTACATTCAGGCTGGGAGGCAGGGGGGACACACGAAGGGGTGGCAGCAACAACCGTGCATTCTGAGGATTAGCTATTGTGCATTCTGAGAATTAGCTTTGTCAAAGTCCAGCAATGCATTTAGTTGCAACAACACTGGAAGGCAGAGGAGGGAAAGAGGGTCCCCAGCCGGTTCCTCTGAACTTCAGCTCTTCTCTAAGGCAGGATTGTGGCAGAAGGGTTTTAGGAGGAACGTCTCTGCAATGTTTTCATTTGTCACAGGATGTCTGGCCTTCCGATACTGAAATGAAACAATCTCCTTACTCTTTCATCTGCAGATCCTCAGTGAGCGGAATAAAATGAGGAAGTCATCTGCCCCCCAGAAGTTCCTACCCACAGTTTCAAATGTTTGACTAAGCAGTCAAATGAGCTTCATATTTAAAAAAAGGGCAAAAGATCTTTTTAGAACTAAACGATGACATGAGGCACTTTTTCCCCCCTGGCGCCACACATACTAATTAGGCCGGCGTGAACAGATTATATTGGTTTGCTCTGCAGGCTTTCTCTTAAAACTATTAGTGAACAGACAGCCATTCTAAACGCGACTGGTCCAACTGAAGTAACTTTGCCGCTTCTCCTAGCAAAAGAGTAATGTATCCCCCTCCTTCCACAAACCCGCAGCCTTACTGATCTTTTAATATGTAGGTTCAAAGCTCCGCAACACCTCTGGACAGAGATTGAAAACCTTGCTACTTTCTTGAAATAACCACAACAGAGGCCAAACGGAAACTAAGCTTCCTTGCAATTTTCCCAAAAGCAAATTGTTAAATGCAACTGCTCTGATCTTGTTACGTCTGCATACTATTGTTGAGAGACACTTCTCCTCAACTCTTCTGGTCTGCCTCACCTTTCTAGCCAAGAATAAAATAAGGATTTGTCAGATACCACCTGCTGGACTAACACTACTAAAGGTTTAGACAGGCTAAGAAGCTTAGTGGGTTGAGACAAATTAAGTGGAAGGTCTTTTTTAAAAAATAAAAGGTTTAAGAAAGGAAAAATAAAGTTAAGATACTCTACCATTTCAAGCATTCTGCAAGATAACCATTAGCAAGGTGAGACACCACAAACTGTACAAAGTTGACTCTCCTGCCATATCGAATCCGAAATCTCAAACATACAAAATAATTACACTTGGACATCAGCATTTGAACCTCAAACTAGAGAGCTTGGATTCTGACCCGATATACTCAACCAGAACTGAGAATGCAAGCATGAATAGCAGATGTGGCCGTGAGGGTCATTTGTCACATCTTATTCCATGTACGTTAACAAGCTTTTTATAGCAGTAAGTCTCCAGATGTTGCCAACACAAGACTGATACTGTACAACTGACTACAAAACCAGTTATGTGATTTGCGGATCATCAACTGTAGAGGGTCTTACACATGACCCTTTGCCATTAAAGGTTTCTAATGTTTTTTTGTCACAAAATGTAATTTCTTCTAAGCAATAAAGCAAGTGAAGTATCGCTCTCCGTGTACAGCAGGACCTCATAGCATTTCCATTACATGGGAGCCACTGGATCCTTCCTTTCACTATTATTCTACTTTTTGTCAAAAACTATACACAAAATAGTGGCGATCTTCAAAAGTTAAGCAGATACAGGCTACCAGGGCTGTGGTCAGCTGAAACACTGCCCTCCCCCATAAATACAATGAATTTGAGAGGTCACTGCAGAATCTTAAGAGAGTAACGTACCGGGACATTTCAAGCTTTCATGGCTAGAGTAAACACTGTTGTATGCATTAAAGGCATCCTAATTTGAATAATGCCTGCATGCATATTATAATACATGGCTGTAGCCACCATATGTATTTTCTGGACTACACTGGTACGGTAGCTATGAAGCAGGAAAAAAAAAAAAGTAATGTTGTGGGTTGTAAGCTGGACAGATGACTCGTTACACCAAAACAGGCAGAAAGCCTTTTGGATGCTCTGAAGTACTGAGCCAGCTTGGTGTAGTGGTTAAGATCAGCAGACTCTAATCTGAAGAACCGGGTCTGATTCCCTTTTCCACCCACATGAAGCTGGGTGACCTTGGGTAAGTCACAGTTCTCTCAGAGCTCTCTCAGCCCCACCTACCTCACAGGGTGTCTATTGTGGGGAGAGGAAGGGAAGGTAATTGTAAGCCACTCTGAAACATTTTCGGGTAGTGTAGATCGGGGTATAAAACCAACTGTTCTTCTATATAGATGCTATTTTATTATTTTGCCTGGTTATGTTGGAAAATGAACTGTTCCTACTTTAGGGCTGCCAATTCCCCCCGGGGGGCAGATTTCCCCCCGCTTTGGAGGCCCGATTTCCGCCCCCACGGAATCGGGCCCCGGGGGAAACCCCACCCCCTCATGCACGTCACAGGCAAGTGACGTCATGACGCCGGGCACGCTGGGGGCGGAGCCACAGCCATTTGAGGGGAAAACATAGTTTTCCCCTCAAATGGCTGTGGCCCCGCCCCCAGCGTGCCCGGCGTCATGACGTCACTTGCTTGTGACGTGCATGCGGCGCGCGCGCACCCCAGGAGCCATCCCAGACTCCCCCGCCAGCGAGGTAAGTCGATTTGGCAATCCTATCCTACTTATCGGCTTTGTTACACTTACATAGTTTGCTGTATTTTCAATTTTCTGTCACATACAGCCCTGATCTGGATAGCCCAGGCTAGCCCAATCTCATCAGCTTTCAGAAGCTAAGCAAGAGTCTGTCCTGGTTAGGACTTGGATGGGAGACCACTGAGGAAGGACAGGTTTAGTACAACAAAGGCAAGCCAAGGGAAGCCACCTCTCTGAAAACCCCGAGAGGTCACCATAAACCAGCTGCAACTTGACGGCATTTTCCACCGCCACTGAAAGAGAAGGAACGAAGAGGGCAAGTGGGACATAGCAAAAAAGTAAGTAGGATAGGAGCAGTGTTCCCTCTAAGCTGAGTTAGTGTGAGCTAGCTCACAGGTTTTTAGCCTCCGGCTCACACATTTTTGTCTTAGCTCAGGAAGGATGGCTCCAAAGCAAACTGATTTATGCAGCAGCCAAATCGCTCGCTCACAACTTTAATTCCAGTGGCTCACAAAGTAGAATTTTTGCTCACAAGACTCCACAGCTTAGAGGGAACATTGGATAGGAGCAGTGTTCCCTCTAAGCTGAGTTAGTGTGAGCTAGCTCACAGTTTTTTAGCCTCTGGCTCACACATTTTTGTCTTAGCTCAGGAAGGATGGCTCCAGAGCAAACTAATTTATGCAGCAGCCAAATTGCTCGCTCACAACTTTAATGCCAGTAGCTCACAAAGTAGAATTTTTGCACACAATACTCCACAGCTTAGAGGGAACATTGGATAGGAGCCACACGTCTGTGCAGAGATCAGATCCTCAAGTGATTCAATCATCCGTGTGATCCGTTTCAAACTGTTTTTCCTTCCTAAGGTTAATTTACTGCCTGCAGCTAATAGCCAGAAGTACTTTACTCTGATTTTATCCTTTGTTTGGGCCTAGTACAAAAAAAGGGGCTGAACTAGTCTTTAAGATGGCACATAACTCTTTTGTTCTGATTATTAATATGATACTATTGGCCCCAAGCGCAGCCTCCTTAGAAAAGCATAAGATTAAGTATGTGTAAGCTCTATTAGACTTGCTACATTAGGAAAAAAAGAATCAATCGGGAAAAGGCAAGACAGAAATGCAAGGTCAGGTGCAAACCTTCAGATGCCTCCCCCTTAATATGTGGTGTGCACCACCTTTAAGTCTAAAGGTGCCATTGCTGTGTAAATTCCATGGAAAGCAGGGTTTCCTAGCAACAGCAAGATCACAGATGACATCACGGCACAAAGTAGATGAGATGGGTTACCTAACAGGCAGCAGATGTTTGGTTTCTCTCCCCGTTCCCCTACAGCATTTCCCTCTTCCTAAACTGGAGTAAAATAATAAAAAATAAATAAAAATCTCCTCGCGGGTCTTATGTAAGTACACAAGACTTATTTCAAGATAATCTGCCCAGCCCTCCCAGCCAATTTCTCCTTGATGAATTCAGCAACCGAAATCTCTCTCCCCCCTTTTTGACACATCCAGATTACAGTGGCCAGGGCTGAGCAGTTCACAAACACACAAACTCCAGCTGCATAGAGGATATAAAGGTTGTTGCAGCTGGATTATCTATAGCTGGTTTTTTATGCAGGGAAACTAGAGC